GAACAGGAAGCTCACCCCTAGGGTCGACGTCAAGAAGGTCCTTGTTCTTGGAAGTGGAGGCTTGAGTATTGGACAGGCTGGAGAGTTTGACTACTCTGGTAGCCAAGCTATTAAGGCTTTGAAAGAAGAGGGTATCTACACTATCCTGATCAACCCCAACATTGCCACCATCCAAACCTCAAAGGGTCTTGCCGACAAGGTCTACTTCTTGCCTGTCAACGCAGACTTCGTCCGCAAGGTCATTCAGAAAGAGCGACCCGATGGTATCTACGTAACCTTCGGTGGTCAGACTGCACTCCAGGTCGGTATTCAGCTCAAGGATGAATTCGAAGGTCTTGGTGTCAAGGTTCTTGGTACCCCAATTGACACCATCATCACCACTGAGGACCGCGAGCTCTTTGCCCGTAGCATGGAGTCTATCGGAGAGAAGTGCGCCAAGTCTGCATCTGCAAACAACGTCGAAGAAGCCATGAATGCAGTCAAGGATATTGGCTTCCCTGTCATTGTCCGAGCTGCATATGCTCTGGGTGGACTTGGTAGTGGTTTCGCCGACAACGAGCAACAACTTCTCGATCTGTGTAACAAGGCTTTTGCAGCCAGTCCCCAGGTGCTCATTGAGCGCAGTATGAAGGGATGGAAGGAAATCGAGTACGAAGTCGTTCGTGATTGCCGAGACAACTGCATCACCGTTTGTAACATGGAGAACTTCGACCCGCTCGGTATTCACACCGGAGACTCTATTGTCGTTGCACCCTCGCAGACCCTTTCGGATGCCGACTACAACATGCTCCGAACGACTGCCGTTAGTGTTATCCGCCATCTAGGTGTTGTTGGTGAGTGCAACATTCAGTACGCACTCAACCCATTCTCCAAAGAGTACTGCATTATCGAGGTCAACGCCCGTCTCTCGCGTTCTTCCGCTCTTGCTTCCAAGGCTACTGGATATCCTCTTGCATTCGTCGCTGCCAAGCTCGGTTTGAACATCCCTCTCAACGAGATCTCCAACTCAGTCACACGCTCGACTTGCGCTTGCTTCGAGCCATCGCTTGATTACGTTGTGGTGAAGATCCCTCGCTGGGATTTGAAGAAGTTCACCCGCGTATCGACCCTTCTCGGCTCATCTATGAAGAGTGTCGGAGAAGTTATGAGTATTGGCCGGACGTTCGAGGAGGCTTTGCAAAAGGCTATTCGTGAGATTGACCCCAGTAACCTCGGCTTCAATGAGACTCCTGCCTTGATGGAGATCGATCAGGAACTGCAAACTCCTTCCGATCAGCGCCTCTTTGCTATCGCTAATGCTATGAAGGCTGGATACAGTGTCGACAAGATCTGGGAAATGACCAAGATCGACAAGTGGTTCCTCAGCCGTCTCAAGTCTCTAAGTGACTTTGAGAAATTGATGGCGGACTACGACACTGTCAGCATCACCAAGCCCTTGATCAGGAAAGCCAAGCAACTCGGATTCTCTGACCGCCAACTTGCCAAATTCTGGGCATCGAATGAGCTCGCTGTACGCCGTGTACGTGTCGATGCTGGCATTTTCCCTGTTGTCAAGCAGATCGACACCGTCGCTGCTGAGTTCCCTGCGGTTACCAACTACCTTTACCTCACATACAACGGCACTGAGAACGACATTAGCTTCAATGATAAGGGTATCATGGTGCTCGGTTCCGGTGTGTACCGTATCGGATCTTCTGTTGAGTTCGACTGGTGCTCCGTCCGTGCCATCCGCACATTGAGGCAGCAGGGCTTCAAGACCGTCATGTTGAACTACAACCCCGAGACTGTATCCACTGATTACGACGAGGCCGACCGTCTCTACTTTGAGTGCATCTCTTTGGAGACTGTGCTGGACATCTACACCATTGAGAACTCGAGCGGCGTAGTCGTGAGTATGGGTGGTCAGACTTCAAACAACATCGCCCTACCGCTGCACCGTATGAACGTCAAGATCCTTGGTACTTCACCAGAGATGATCGATACTGCGGAGAACAGATACAAGTTCTCTCGTATGCTTGACCGTATCTCTGTAGACCAGCCTGCCTGGAAAGAGCTCACAAGCATTGAGGAGGCGACTGAGTTCTGCGAGCGGGTATCTTACCCTGTCTTGGTTCGTCCTTCTTATGTCTTGTCTGGAGCTGCTATGAACACTGTCTACTCGAAGCACGATCTGGCCAATTACTTGAACCAAGCGGCAGACGTGTCTAAGGAGCATCCGGTCGTCATTACAAAGTACATTGAGAATGCCAAGGAAATCGAGATGGACGCTGTTGCCAACAAAGGTACGATGATCGGACACTTCATCTCTGAACACGTAGAGAATGCTGGTGTTCACTCTGGTGATGCCACTTTGATTCTACCTCCTCAGGATCTTGACCCCGAGACTGTGAGACAGATCGAAGATGCCACTCGCAAGATCGGAGCAGCTCTCAACATTACAGGACCGTACAACATCCAGTTCATTGCCAAGGACAACGAGATCAAGGTCATTGAGTGCAACGTTCGTGCCTCCCGATCTTTCCCCTTCGTCTCCAAGGTCATGGGTGTCGACCTAATTGAGATGGCTACCAAGGCCATGGCTGGTCTGCCTGTCCAGGAGTACCCGCCAGTCAACATTCCCGCAGAATACGTTGGTGTCAAGGTTCCCCAGTTCTCGTTCTCTCGTCTTTCTGGTGCCGATCCTGTTCTTGGTGTAGAGATGGCTTCCACCGGTGAAGTTGCTTGCTTCGGTCGTACCAAGTACGAAGCATATATCAAGGGTCTCATTGCCACTGGCTTTAGGCTGCCAAAGAAGAACATTCTCCTCTCGATTGGTTCGTTCAAGGACAAGTTGGAGATGCTTCCATCAATTGAGCGCCTGCACAAGATGGGCTACAACCTCTTTGCCACTGCTGGAACTGCCGACTACATTCAAGAGCACGGCATTCCAGTCAAGTTCTTGGAAGTCCTTTCTAGTGGCGAACACGACGAGCAGAAGCAAGAGTACTCGCTCACGCAGCACTTGTCCAACAACCTTATCGATCTCTACATCAACCTGCCATCAAGCAACCGCTTCCGCCGACCTGCCAACTACATGAGTAGGGGTTACCAAACACGTCGTATGGCCGTCGACTACCAGACTCCATTGGTCACCAATGTCAAGAACGCCAAGTTGCTGATCGAGGCGATTGCTCGCCACTACGACATGGAGGTCAGCAAGGTTGATTTCCAAGACTTCACTGTTGCCACCGGATCCCACGACCAATCTTCTGGAGCCAATTCTAGCCTCAACGCTTCATTGTCTCTATCGCAGCTCCTCGCGAAGTCCCCATTCAAGCGCCAGAGTATCACCTCCGTCAAACAATTCTCCCGAGCAGACCTCCACCTGCTGTTCACTATTGCCCAGGAGATGCGTCTGGGTACTCAGCGACAGGGCTGTCTCGATATTCTCAAGGGTCGTGTGCTTTGCACAATGTTCTGTGAGCCATCTACCAGGACTTCAGCTTCTTTCGATGCTGCCATGAAGCGCTTGGGTGGTGAGGTTGTTGTCATCAACGAGTCTGTCTCTTCTACCCAGAAGGGCGAGTCTATCGCTGATACCATCCGCACTTTGGGCTGCTACGGTGACGCCATCGTCCTCCGTCACCCATCTGAGGAATCCATCGACATCGCCACCAAGTTTTCTGATGTTCCAATCATTAACGCTGGCAATGGAAGCCGCGAGCACCCGACCCAGGCCCTTCTCGACATTTTCACCATCCGTGAGGAGCTCGGAACTGTCAACGGCCTCAACATTACCTTCGTTGGTGACCTCAAGTATGGCCGCACTGTGCACTCCCTATGCGAGCTTCTTTCTCACTACGACGTTACCATCAACCTCGTCTCTCCAGAGTCCCTCGTTATGCCTTCGGGTGTAACCAATGCTCTCAAGTCACGAGGTCAGCTGAACAAGGTTTCCAACGAGCTCACGGACGAGATTGTCGCTTCTTCGGATGTCATCTACTGCACTCGTGTGCAGAAGGAGCGTTTCCCCGATGTGGCCAGCTACGAGGCTGTAAAGGACGCGTTTGTCATTGACAACAAGTTGTTGAAGGGGGCCAAGGAGAACATGATTGTCATGCACCCACTGCCCAGGAACAACGAGATCAATGAGGAGGTTGACTTCGACCCTAGGGCGGCATACTTCAGACAGGTAGGTTTACAATTGTCAAAGATGAAATGCAAGGGCTAACATTTGTACAGATGAGATACGGACTGTATACCCGCATGGCACTGCTCGCTATGGTCATGGCACCGTAGATGCACAGTAATGTGTATGAGTTTCATGGCAGGCGTTTGACGGTTTTTTTTAACGAATACGAGCAAAACAGCAAAAAAGTTTCCTTTTTTTTGTTTTCTATTCCCACTGATTCATTTTGCTTTTCCTTTTGGGGTCTATTCCGTGGTTTCGGGATAGGCATACAGACTGTAGATAGATAGTCAAAAGCATTTCCACGGAGTCGAGTCATAACAGCATGTAAGGGTATATGTATGATGTATTTTTCTTGTAATCAGGGTAGGGGGGAGCTATTTCAGTTTTATTTCAGTCTATTTTTTGTTTTTTCTGGCGTTTGGGTTTAGGGTTAGGTTTGGGTCATTATTAGGTTTGGTTGGGGCGGATTCGGATTAGCTCGGTTGGGCAATGGTTTGGTGCATCTTGGAACACAAACAGGTTATCCCAGGGAAGGGATCTGCATTGGGACGGAGTTTTTTTTTGTTGGCTATTGGAAAAGAGAAAGTAGTCGATTTCAAGACTACTGATGGCGCAATTGGAAAGGGAAGAACATATACGCCAGACGCCTTGCCACTTGGTAAGAACTATAATGAAGAATACTACAGGCACGTCTTTAGAGCGTGTGTTGACGTAGGCACAAAAGCCTGCTTCATTTCCAGTCACATGGTTTTGCTTACGGGTCCAAGACATGATTCAAGTTGCTCGTTTCGAGGAGTGAAATGGTTGTAAAGGATGTGGTAAGAGGGACTTAGTGACCGAGGCATCGGCTCCATCCTGTTCAATGTTAGTGGTCCATGGTTTCCCAAATCAATCGGTTTCCAAAGAGAGAGAGAGAAACATACCAGGCAATCCGCATCCAAAGCCAACAAACAAATAGAGCAAAAAGATGACGACAAGGATCAAAAGCACCATGAGCTTGACGTTCTTCCACCACATCCTCCTCTTCAATGTGCGACTCCTGACCCTAAAGTCCCTCGCATTCTCACCAAGTCTCCCCGTCTTGTCCACCAGCACACTCATATGCTCACCCCTCTCAAGTACGCGCTCAATGTTCTCAGTCATAATCTCCCTCACACCCTCAATCTCGCGCTGCGCCGTCCTAAGCGCATCCTGCTGCCCGGCCTGCGTACTCCCCTGCTCGAGCATCAACCTCTTGAGCGCGCCATTAAAACTTGCGCAGCCATACGGCGGCAAGTCATGAAAGTTTGTACTCTCGGGCTCGAACTCTGCAAAGAAGCGCTTCTCGAGCGTGGCGAGGAAGCCGAACGGGATGCGCTGGCCGAGCTCGCGCTCCGCGATGACGAGGAAGGTTAGGCCGCCGGCGGTGGCGTGGGAGGCGGGGAAATCAGAGGGCGACTTGACGAGGCAGTGGATGAAGAATTTGGACTGGTCGATTGTCTTGTGGGCGGATTTGTCGTGCGCGATGCGCGGGAGGACGAGCGAGACGAGCGACGATGCGTTGGAGGAGGCGGAGGCTGTGTGTTCGGCGAGGACGGTGGTGTTGTGGGCGATGCAGGCGCTGGTGAGGGGTGTTAGTTATGGTGATTGGGTCTGAGAGAAAGGGGGGAGACAGGAGTGTCGTACTATAGCAGCGGCGAGGACGATGATGAAGACGCCATCTTTGAGGGAGGTTACTCTTGGAGCCGGGACAAGGCTGGTGCTTGATAGATGGATAGGATTGTGTGTATCTTCAGCTTCTATTCCGATGCTATGTCGTAGGTCACGTATGCGATCTGGGTTCTCAATAGAGTATATGCCTGTCGCTGGTAGCTGTGTGGGTCTAACCGGGGAAAGCTGGGAGTGTGTCGCAGGCACAGGATGTCGGATTGCTGCGCAAGACGCAAGGACAAGGCGCTAAAAGCTGGGGATAATGGCTAACCATGTGCGTCATAGGCCAAGGAAAGAAAGCCCCCAATCAACTTGCCTTGCGCGCTAATGCATGGCCCGAAAGATTGAGGACCGTGGTCTTACATTTCACTTTTTTGCTTTATTCAAAAAAAAAATTGAAAAACATATACAACGTGACTTCGCGTATCTTGCGCGTGCGCTTGGATTGCAGAGTGGGGGGCACAGACATCACGTCCACTTGCTGCTCGGTGTTGTTGGTGCGCAACCTTATCGTACTACATAGTTTCTGATTACTTTTCTTATTCCAACATCCCTCTCCACACACCTTTACTTCAACCTCCACGTACGCACACACCTCAGCGCATTGAAGCCACCATGGTGCGCGTAAAGAACCGCTATCTAGTAGTCAACTTCCTATACCCAGAGCCCCCCACAAAGACCAAATCCAAACTCCCTGCCGTAATTCAAATCCACTCGCCCACGCCCGACGCGCTCAAGCCAGGCTTCATTGTGCGCATGATACGGGATGGAGTCGAAGAGCTATTTGGAGATTATGGGTCTGGCATGGTAGCTTCTGGGTTAAAAGGTACCTTGCCTTTTTCTTCATCTCTTAGTTATACATATGCATGTGCATGCGCTGTCGCATACACTACAGTAACTAATACTCGACCACTCAGTGAACTACTATTCCCCTTCAACCAGTACAGCCATAATCCGATGTCCCCGCGACCACTACGAAATGGTCTGGGCCGCCCTCACATACACTACGCGCCTCCCGCGGCCCCTCGATACGCCCGTTGTGATTCGAGTGGTGCGAGTTAGCGGGACTATCAAAAAAGCAGAAGAAGAGGTTATACGGCAGTCGCAACTGATTATTAAGAGAGCGAGAGAATGGGAGGGCGAGGGACAGTTGCCTATGCTGCAGAGTGTGGAGAAGGCAGTGGAGAAAGAGCGGAGGGGAGAGGTGCAGGTGCTCGCTGAAGTTGATGATGAGAGTGATAGTGATAATATGAGTGAGTAGGTGCGGATTCCAACTTGCCTGGAAAGCAAACTCTTAGGTAAACTCGCTTGGTGTGCGATACGCAAAAGCGCATCGGTTCTGCAAGACTGGCCGCTGCATATTAGGTATATGCATAGACCTGTTGCTCCTCACCGAGGACAAGGACCAGTCATACGCTTATAGTTGAGAGCTGTAATATTCTCCTCAATCGACACTCGCGTGCTCACTCAGTTAACATACGTTCGAGTCTACCCTGTCAACTGCGGTACGCAATCGACAATACACCAAATCGTCACACACCGTTCCATCGACACAAGACAGTCGGCGAGTATACATGACAGCGAATCTATTATACACAACCTCTATGATACATGTGGTGGAAAAAAAAAGGAAACTTGCGCTCTTCTACATGAAAAAAGCATGGGACCAGATCAACGTCTTAATTGGGTCTAAGCATAGCAATCAGAGTAGCAGTAATAACGGCTCCCGCCGCAGCGCCTTGCAAAACCGCAGTCGTGTAGTCGATTCTCCGCATGGAAATGACACGCTCGCTGAGCAAGTCATTAGCAATATATTGTGCCTTTTCCTGCCAAGTCTCCAGTCTACTGTAGGGATGATAGGATGGAGCGGCCTCCCTAGCGACGGTGACTTTCTCCTCGGGCGTCAAAGTCTCTTCTTCTGGACTGAATTCAGTGACTCCCGGCACAGGCTCAACAAGGGTTTCTGCGACAACATCGGGGACAACTTCTGGCTCTGCGACCGCTGGCAACTCTTCAATGACCTCTTCGACCTCTTCCACTGTAGCAGATTCAGCGGGCATCGTAGGCGTATAAGCTTGCTCAACAACCCTCTCGACCTCCCTCTCCATGGCTGCAGGTCCCTGGCTGCTAAGAGTGGGTGTTACAGCCGCTGCAGCCGCCGCGGATGCAGCTTCGGAAGCAATCTTCTGTTGCACCTCCAACGCGTTCTTGATCTCCTTGACCATCCTCTTTCTCCTCCAGGGCTCCAGAATTGCCAGACTGAGCAACAGCAAGAAGATATTGACACCCATCAGTCCAAAGGTAACCCAGGTGCTGTTCCTGCGGATAGTATCACTCCAGATTTGTTCCTCATGGTACTGTGCACGCTCTCTCTTTTCTAGCTGCGCCCGTGCATCCTCCAAGGCATTCTCGGCGTTTGCAACGGCATCCTTTGCTTCGCGGACGGCCTGGTCGTTGAGGTGCTCGGATCGGATAAGAGCCATGTAGCGTTCGAGATCGCCATTCGACCACGAGTGTTTCCGTTCGAGGAGAGCGACGACTTCTTTCTGCGAGGTGGCCTGGTGAGCGAGGGCAGTATCGAGGGCTTGTTTGGCAGCGTCAATGGCCGAGCGGCGGGCCTTTACGAGCTTTTCTGTCCTGAGATTAGAGCTAGTTTCCTCAAGAGTGAAGAAATGGCGTACCTTGTTCTTTGATTTCTCTTCGCAGGGCTTCCACTCCTGAGTAGTCGGTACCTGTGTATGTGTTGACCTTTTGTGTTACTACGGCAAGCTTGGGTAGCAGTTCATCCATGGCATCAGAGAAGCGCTTCAAGAGGCTCCATCTCTGCCTTTCACGGTGCGAAGGCAAGTGCTCATCGGGTACACGTGCAATGGTATCTGGGGACTCGGCTTTCTTGGGTTGTTCTGGTTCGGGCTCTGGTGGGGGAGGTTTGGAGGCTTCGGTAGCCGGTGATTCCTTGAGTGCTGCTACCGAGCTCTCGGCTGCTCTCTGAATGGCTATCTGATCCTCTAATAAGGCATTGAGTCTTCTCTGTAATCTTTCTTGGTCTTCTGGCGATGGCGGGGGTGCAGAAACATTGGGCCGTGGTTGTGCTGGGGGCTGCGGTTGTGATGGAGCTTGTGGTTGTGGGGCCTGTGGTTGTGCTGGTGCCGCGGCCGGTGGCATTGCGATGGCATCTGACGGTTTTGGCGGCTTTCCTCCTTCTTCTCTCCATCTCGTCGAGCTCGAGAGGGCACGTCGCTGCCATGTCTCAGCCGCATTGATGGTTAGTTGCAGCCTTGGATCCCATCTTGGTGCACCGCCAGACAACGACAGGCGATGTTGGCATGGCAGACATGGCGACGACGCGGTGCCCGCACGGCGAGTGAAAAGGCGGAGTGAAGAGGCTACCTTGTTAGTGACCAGCTCGCGTGAAGCATTCCGAAGCAATGGCCTCATTGCTGTCTCTTGCCTTACATCAAGAGCGCAGTGACGGGGACGACGAATGACGAAAAAGCACCAGCCATGCGGACCTCCGAAGCGCTCTGACGTGCCAAGAGGCGTGGGGTTGTCCTCGACGTGTTGAGCCCCGGCTTGCCCATTCAGGCTGTACCTAGTGCCGCTCGAGTATTTCAGGTATTGGCCGAATGACTTAATGTACATCATTTTCTATCTTTTGTAGCCCCTCAACTTTTCCCTACGACATTCACCCGCTTCATACGTTCAAGATGGGATCTATCGATTTGGCAGAGTTGCCCGCTATGAAGAGCGACCCCAAGGTACGTAATGCTACACCCCGCTCGACATACATACTGACATTACGAGACAGTTCATTTTCTTCACCGACTTCGACGGCACAATCACACTCCAAGACTCAAATGACTTCATGACCGACAACATCGGCTATGGCCAGGAAAAGAGGCGCGCAGGTAACATTGCCTGCCTCAACAACGAGATCTCCTTCCGCGACTCCTTCCGCGACATGATGGACAGCGTCACACGGCCCTACGACCAATGCATCCAGTACCTCGTCGACAACATCAAGCTAGACCCAGGCTTCAAGGCCTTCTTCGAGTGGTCGCTCAAGAACAACATTCCTGTTGTAGTCTTGAGTTCCGGCATGGAGCCTATTATCCGCGCGCTGCTTGAGAAACTCGTCGGGCCCAGCGCAAGCAAGATGCAGGTTCTGGGTAACTATGTGGGTCCCCGCGAGGGCAAGAGCATCAACGAGGAGGGTGGATGGCAGATTCTGTTCAAGCACCCTGACTCGGGTTTCGGCCATGACAAGTCGATTGAGCTGCGCAAGTACTCGTCGCTCCCCGAGAACGTGCGCCCGACTATGTTCTACGCTGGCGACGGTGTGTCAGATTTGTCGGCTGCGCGCGAGACAGACCTTCTGTTTGCGAAGAAGGGACATGATTTGATTAGCTACTGTGCTCGCGAAGATGTCCCCTTTACAGTCTTCGAGGATTGGTCCGATATCCTGGCCAAGTGCAAGAGCATTGTCGAGGGCAAGACGACGGTCCAGGCCGCGGCCAAGGAAGGCTACGAAGCGTACAAAAAGGGCGAGGCTGGCCTCAAGAAGTAGATGGCGGGCTTGTGGGGAGGGATTTAACCGGAGAGACAGAAAAGCTCTCCTTATCCGGTTTCCACGCCGCGGCGCAGTTGATTCCCAGACATTCTCATGCTTCCCCTTTTCCAGACGGATCGCTCCGGATGTAGTGCCCGCAGTAGTGGCTGCGGCGTAGTTGTGAACGGCCCGCATGTGTGGGGAGGAGGAGAAAGCGCTGCGATCTCGCAGGTGACTGCGACAAACGCAAACGTCTTTACACGATTACACAAGACGATAGACATGATTTACACGATAGACTATAGAAACCCACAATTTCGGTTTACACATGATTTGTTAGTATTTGAAACTAGAATAGACTGGTTTGTCTACAATACCATTCTGCAGAATAGCGTAACAAAACTGAACGTCCGTTGAGTGGGTATATCTCGCTATGTAAGGAAAAACAAAAAATCAACCTGATACATATGAAATTCTTCTTTTCCCCATATCATCATCGACTTATAGCTACCTCAGTGGTCTTTACGATCGTCAAACCTCTCTGTACAGACCTCCGCGGACCACATCGTGCCTCGTAACTCTCAATGCTATCATCACTCTCCCTAGCTGGACTTCCCATTCTCTCAAGACCGCTTTTACCTCGTCCAGCTACGACGGTGTATGTGTCCTTGGCGAGCACTGTGTCTTCACCGTAAGGGTCACGTCCTATCGACTGACTACCTTCGCTCATATTCTTCATGACGAAGCTATCGCTGTTCTGCTGCTCGCTCTGTTTCATATACCCCCTTGAGCGAAACGGTGTGCTATTGAGGCCATTCGAACCGGTTGTTCGGCCTCTTGTGGCTATGGACCGGACTTGTCCGAAGAAGCTTGCGAAGAGGGGTTTAATGGTTGGAAGACAGGCGGCGATGATGCCAACGTGCATTTCTACTCTGTTTTGTTGTGACGAAAGTTAGTGTTAAGCCCTTCAAGGGTTCTAGTGCGTGATGCAAGGACGTACTGTTGCCAGATGTAGTACCAGGATCCATCGCCGGACCAATCTTTTACTTTGAAGAAATTGGCTTGCATCGGTGTCTTGTAGATTGCTATAGCAGAGGCGAATAGACCAAGACCCAAGATTGTTGCGAGACCAATGCGTGTTTGAATAGTGACTTGGAGCTTCCAGACCATGGGTATGGGAATCAGGGCGAATATCAGATCTGTGGCGATGTTGATGCAAGAGTTGAAGACACCGACATTTTTGAAGATTGTCGCATCATAACATTTTGCTTTGCTGTGTTTGTGTTAACCATTACTTTGAACTATACCAAGACTTGAATTGGTACCAACCCCATTGGCGGACGCATAGTGAAGTCCCAGCCTGCTCGTACAGGTATACATTGGAATATAATGGCGAACGTCGAGCCAATCGTGAAAATAACAATGAAAACTGGGCGATCAATCAGTCATTGTTGTGAGCAAAGCGGAATTCTCCAACCAAATGTTACTTACTCAGCATGCCGATCAGGAATGGTCGCCATCTTGTCCGGTCTGCCAGCCGGAGCAAGAAGAGACCGATCGATAGCTTGATGAAGCTGTATCCGGCAATGATGAGAATCGAATAGAAGTACATGTACTTGAAAAAGAGAAAAGTATTCTCCACTGGGAATGCTTCGGCGTGTTTTCCCAGTCCAAGATTAATGACTGTCAAGAACAGACCCAGTGTTGTTATGCTTATGCACTGCAGACGTAGATGTCAGCGATATGTTCAGCGAACAAAGGGGTTATCTGAATTTCCCAGAGTGGTAGACATACTACTGCAACCAACATCATAATGTCTGGTTTAGTCGGTTAGTGACGTTCGGCGATTCTTATACGTGAGTGGTGTTACATACCATCCCAACCGAATGTTTTCAACATAAAGATTCGCACATAGAACCGTAGAAGCACCGCAGTGGTAGATAATGCGAACAGGGGACCCTCTACGGCCATCAAGTGGGCAGCTTGATTCTCTGCCATATACTCTGGTGATCGCGCTGGCGTTGGGGGAGGTCCCCATCCCTGCCTCGAAATGAGATGATGATAGGCCATGTTGAAAATGTGCCCTCAAAGGAAGCAAAATGGACGAGAAGACTTTTTCTAACAGAAGACAGACATGTACGTTTTCATGGCTCTGCTCAAAAAACGCCCCATGACCGTGTGCCCGAAAGTGGCACGCAGACACGCGCAGAGTGTAAAGACTGTGCACTACAGTAAACGGCCACATCTGGATCAGTATTGGTCCGGGCCAAAACATGCTTCTCCGTATATGCAAGCTACATTGTTTTAATGTCAACGCTACGGCTCGGCTGTGTTGCATAACAGGGGAACGGTCGGAGTGGCGGGCTGTCTGCCCAATCATGATGTTTGTGCCAACGGGATTGCAAAGCTTGATACCGAATCCACTGGCCTGCCGCTATGTTGCTACAATCCGAGGATCAAGACAGAGTCCCTTTATTCCTTCTCCTCATGCCTTGGAAGAACCCAAAGACGCGGTGTTGCGAGTACATGTACAGACTGCTGGCTGAAACACTGTCATACCTCTAGTCTACATTGCAGTGTATTCTAGACATTCGGTGAGTGGCTCATGGACATCTTCGTCATTACGAACTTGGCACGTGCTGCTTTTGGATAATCAGGACCAATATCGACAGCCAAAATTGGAAGAACATGTCTTCATTCGGAGCAAGGAGCGATGCGGGCTCTGTCACTCTGCACTTGAACACTTTCTACCAGAAAAATGGTAACACCCATATTGAGAAAATCATGGGATTTTGCAGCTGTTTCCCTTCCTACTGGCCTTTGTTGCGATTCTTTGAAAACAGGATGTTGAAACTGTAGGATTCATCACAAGAATGCGGTAGATTCTGCGAACGGTTGCGGAGGAATTGCCCAGTAGAGGGTAAGGCTCGGATGCTAGTGTGTTAGTGAGGGAAAAGTCTCCATATACCAACTACCAATCCTGTAGCCTATGGCTATAAGTTACGCATCGTCGGCGCACCGGACTTTGCCATACCCACCTCGTACGACTTGAGTTTTGCTAACACCGCAGGTAGTGGCGTGAACACGGCTGCAACACGTGTCTGAGCAAGTCTACCCGCAGGCTAGTGGGCTGAGCAATCTCCGGGCTATGCAGGCTGTCAGTTGTGAGATGAACGGATAGGATGTGGTCGTGGAATGATAGGACGCTAACGGTTCAGGCGAGCGGGCAGCGGGGGCCGGTTCCGCGGGCAACAACGGCGCTTGAAATTATCCGCGGCGTAGCAATTGGTCATAGAAAAGTAGCATGCTTATGCGGGCCGCCACACCCTCTTCCCCCCTCCCGTTCATCGTCCCATCTCTTTGCCGCTGATAGGGCCTTTGCCAAGTATCTCTGATTATACTCAAGTATCGTGGCCAAGTATGATCAGAAGTGATTGACGCGCCAAACTCCCTGGTAGGTATTAGTGTATGAGATCCGCGCCGATCGGACTATATACTACGAATTACAGTACCTAGGCACAATCCTCAGGTACCACATCCCAATTTCTTCCCGTTGGACCCGCCCCTAAGCTCCGCACGATGACACCGGTTAAACAGATGAAGAGAAAATACAGTCTTGCGTGAGCGTTGTGGAACCACAGCCGCCACACGGCTCGGGGCCTGTTCAGTGCAGCGGCGTAGACATCCCAAGTTTTTTCTGACCTATCCATTGCCCTGTCCCTCGATAGACCCGTAACCGAGGCTTCCAGAATCTGCTCCCACATCTTACCTGCATTCACAGCCTCAATGCCTTTTTTTCCTGTCCTTCACATGGGGCCGAGACTCAGGCGAACCCACGTGTTGCGGAGTTTAGAGACGCCCCTTTGGATCCTACGAGGCGAGCTCGGAATGAAGGATCCATTTTGGTAGTAGTGGTAAGGTAGAAGGAGCACCAAAAAGGTTTCCATCCCATTTGGACCATTTGAGGATTGCGGGCGAATAAATCTTTGGTATGCGATACATTCTCACTGACTCGAAGGCTGTTCGGAATCAATGAACCGAGATTCGGGGCCTGAAAATCACTGAATGTTAGTGCTGTTGGTAGTCAGATTGCTTGATTGGACTAGATGAAGAAAGGTGTTGGTATGCACGCTGGAAGTATTTGAAGGCTCGTGCAGCCTTGCATTGCTAGGCAGTGCTTTTGTCGTCTCTCGCTTTCGCCTCTCTCATATCTCAATATAATTCAGTAATAGCCCACTCGGACTGGCATCGTGTCCGAAGTCATATTCAGAGCAGTCGGCGGTTTCAGTCGTTCACTCGTCTTGATCCCCCCAGGCCCCCCGAATACCTGAATACCCAGCTTTACCCGGTTCGAAACGCGATCATGCGTACAGCCGCACTCCTTTGGCTTGCACCCGCAGCGTTGGCTAGCGCTATTCCTGCGCTCGAGGAAACTTCTCCAGCCGCATCATTTGACAAGAGGCAGAATGTTTCTCCGAACATCTTGGGAGGAAAGGTCCTTCAGGCAGATGTGTACGCTGGAATTGCTGCCATCAACCAGCAGATCTTCCAGGCCACACAGCAAAACGAGCAGTTCAAGAAATGCAACCCCTTGAACATTGTTGTTCGCAAGGAATGGTGTGTATCTCAGCAAAGTGGCAGAAGACATGTACTAACATATTCAGGGCTACCTTCACCAAGCCGGAGAAGACCAATTACATTCAGGCGGTCCAATGCATGTCCAAGCTACCCCCGAAGACGCCCAAGGCCGAATGCCCGGGCTGCCGGAACCGATACGACGACTTCGTAGCTGCGCATATCAAGCAGACGTTCTCGATCCACAACACTGGAAACTTTCTTCCGTGGCACCGCTACTTCACGTGGGCATATGAACAGACACTGCGAAAGGAATGTGGCTACAAGGGCTACCAGCCGTACTACAACTGGCCGCGATGGGCTGACGACCCCATCAAGAGCCCTGCTTTTGACGGCTCTGTCACGTCCTTGAGTGGCAATGGTGTGCTTGGATGCACTAACCAAACCTTTTATGGAATTCCAACGAATGCAGAGCCGAAGATCAAGATTCCCAAAGGCAGCGGTGGAGGCTGCGTAGCCTCTGGACCCTTCAAGGACTGGAGCGTCAATCTTGGACCCGTCTTCACGGACTCGCTCTGTGTACCTCCCAATCCAATCTCTGACTTCACGGATCCCAACATGGGGCTTGGATATAACCCCCGTTGTCTCAAGCGAGACATTTCATCGTGGACATCCAGACAGTGGACCAATGACGAGATGGTAGTGAAGCTGCTCAATAGCCCAGACATGAAGACTTTCTGGACCGACATGCAAGGTGGTGATCCCTCTTTTGATAATAACTTCATGGGCGTGCACACTGCGGGGCACTTCCACTTGGGCGGTGATCCTGGATCGGATTTCTTCACTTCTCCCGGTACGTCTTCATGTTGTATGTGTTTGTGTTTCCGCCTGCTAACGTAGAAAAAGGTGACCCATGGTTCTTCCTCCACCACGGACAGATTGATCGTGTGTGGTGGACGTGGCAAAACATCAACCCTGCCGAGCGTACCAACGCCATCTATGGAACTACCGTTATTTCTGACCCCACCGCGCCTGCAACTAAGCTCACCGACAAGATGACGTTGGGCTATGCCTATCCAGTGGACATTACGGTTGCCGATGCGATGACTACGATGGGAGGACCTTTCTGCTACACGTACATCTAGAAGTGCCGGTTAGAGGCTTCTTTGCTATTCGTGTGAATAATTTCTAGTAGATAGTGCATTGCCATTGGAGCACTAGAGGAATAAAAATAAACTTGGCATTCATAACCGATGCGGTGTGACTCTTGACGCCGGGTGTGAACAGGCATATACCCAGTAGTTTGATATGAAGCGGCTCTTGACCGCACAACCATGGTAGATTTGCTTGACCACCATGCCCACAGAAAATGAGAAGAGCGACAGTTGTGCATCGAGGCTAAGAATGGTCTTGGTAGTGGGGCATCTGCAGGTGCTTGAGACGAAGTACCAGTACAGTGGTCGGGCACGTCTTGGCTCTATTGCGGAGGCGTTGACACTCTACTCCACCTGTTCTAGTACCAGTATACACATGTATCAGAGTATCCCAAAAGCATGAAGCTCGGACAAAGGTACCAGGAGCAGAGCAAGCAACGATTCGACAATGGCACGCAGCGCTAAGCAGTCACCATACCTGTGTAGCATTCGGCTCTTGACGAAGAATGAATGGGCGGGGTTCTCCCCATCCAAAGGGCGCGGAGACCCTGCATTGCCAACGCATCACCGCTGAAGAAAAGGGACCCCCCAAAGAGCAATCATGTGCACCAATCCTTCTCTGATCACGCCCGTTCCCAAGAAGCGTCTGTCAGATTGCAGCCAACCCCCTCTACTACAACCCCGACGCCCGAACTACCCAGATTCATTGGACAGCCTGCAATCGTGCTCTGTTGCTGTTTGCGGGTTATTATTAGTTGGGCTGGCGATTCCGAGCAAAGAAAAAGCTTACTTGCCTGGTTAATTTTACCCCACTAACAGCCTACATTTGTCCCCGCCGCCGCCGCCGCCGCGCGCGACAATCGGGTTTCCAGGGTCCCTTTTTTTAGACCAGGGGGGTTTGGTTTCGTGCTGGGAAAGAAAGAATTACAAGACGTCTTGGGCATCATCGATATAGTCGGCACAACCATTTTGTTTTCTTACCATCACAAAAGACCTCACAAGAAAGACACACAGGAGAGAGACAAAAGAAAGACAAGAGCGTTCAACGTCATACTAAAGAAAGCACAGTCTCCAAAAAAAGAGACATACCATTTACCCCCCTTCCCCGCATATCACTCCCCTCCTCCCCCCTCCTCGCAGCCATGAACGTTGACCCTCTGACGGGCGCACCGCTGCCGTCCACCGCAATCCAGCGCATTCTGTACCTCGCGCCCAAAGTGCACATATACCAGATCCCACCGGCGACGTCGACAAAAGGGTACCAAGCCTCTACGTGGACGGCCAACAACAATCAGCTACAGATCTTCACCGCGCGATTACGCATCGTCGAGACCTCGATACCCAGCGCATCCTCGGACGACGCAAGCGGCAACGATGACAACGAAAAAGTAACGACGACAATCCTGCTCGAAGACCCCAAGAACGGGGATCTTTTTGCTGCAGCACCGTATACTAGTGAGCGCACCGTCGAACAGGCACTGGACAGCAGTCGCTTCTTCGCCATCACCGTCGTAGGCGAGGGCCGCAAAGCCGTGCTAGGCATGGGCTTCGAAGAACGCAGTGAAGCCTTCGACTTCTCCATCGCCCTCCAAGACGCCCGGCGCGTACTAGGTTTCGAATCCAAATCCGCCTCATCCCTCTCCTCACGATCCTCATCCAAAACCTCTGCTCCCGTGGCTGAAGAAGTAAAGCGCGATTTCAGCCTCAAGGCCGGAGAGACAATATCGATTAACCTCGGCGGACTCAAGGGCCGGCGGTCGAGGAGCCATGAGAGCGATAAGAGCGACGAGGGCAAGAAGAGTGATCAGGATGCCCTGTTTAGTATAAAACCGCCACCCGGGAGCGGGCCTGGAGGCGTGTTTTTGCCCCCGCCCCCCAGTGCGAAGAGTGTGAAAGAAGAGAGAAGGAGGAGTAGACAGACGTTTGATGCGGCGAGCTTGCCGCCGAAACAGACGGCCGAGGATCTAGGGTTTGATGATGGAGAGTTTGGAGAGTTTCAATGAAAAGAAAGCATATGTGGAAGTATATCAATGGGCGAGGCATGACCTTTTTCCTTTAATTTTCTGTACATTTAGCAAGGCGTTCCTTTTTTTTATATATACATTGTTGCATCTGTCTCACGTGTATCCTCGCATGGCAGGCGCGTTGGGAAGAATTCAAACATCAAGAGTCAAGAAATGGTTGTTACATGTGTATATGTCTGTGTGTCCATGTCGTTGAATTTGTGTACGTTAGAGTATGTGATAAGGGGGGAGGGAGGGAGGGAGGGGGTATCAGGTAAATTTCCGGTTCCAAACAAACGCCTTTGGAAGAAAAAAAAGGACACAACCGAAAAGGAAGGCGACAATGAGCCAAAAAGTTCCGATTACAACTTTCAAGACTCAGTCCAACCCTGAGCCTCTTTGTACAGCCTCTCGATATCCCGGATCAGGTCCTCGGGCTTATCACCATCAGGGCAGTCTTTAAACTTACCCCCATCGGCCACGCACCTCACCTTGTCGTCTAGCCTGACAGTGCAGCTCGTCGTCACGCCCACATCGCGGCTATGCTGTGCGCTGTCCCTCAGCAGACCCATGCCGTAGGCGCCGTTTTCCCTGCTCATGCACTCGTTGAGCACTTCAAAGTCGAGACCGTGTTCCAGGGCGCAGTCTTCGATGAGCGAGCGGGCGGGTATCTCGGGGTAGTCGGTGATGAGGCAGTTTGTGAAGCCTAGGTGGAGCTTGGGGTCCGGGTACTCGGATGCAGCGCAGAGCATCACGATGTCGCCCAGGCACTCGGTTTGGCCGTGCATGCATAGTACGCCGTCGTCTTCGGTTAGGCTGTCCGGGGTTTGTTAGCAACTGTCGTATATATATGTGTGTTTGTTTGGTGGATTGCCGGTGGCGGGCAAACTTACGTGCCAATCATGCTCAGACGGAAGTCGACTTTGTCAGACACGTTTGCCATGGCGGGCAGCACGAGTTTGTTGAGACAGTCTCGCGCGTCGGGGCACTTGGACATGATGTGCACGTCCAGAGGCACTTTTGAATCGGTGTCGAGGTGGTGGTGGTGGTCATCGGCGCAGGACCATGTCGATGCCAGCCAGAACAAGCTGAGGACAAGCATGGTCACGGCCATCTGCAGGCGGCTCTTGTTGCTGGAACTGCGCGAAGCCTCGGGCTCGCCGGCCTCTGGGGCGTTGGAGATGAGGGGCTCCTTCTCTTCCATTGTGTTATCCAGGGCGCACGCGTCGAGGTTGGGTTTGGTTATTTGGAGATGGGGTCCAGACCAGACAGTCTAGATGGCGTGCTGAACCGGACTAGCGAGGCCGGGGGGTGGAGCGGGCGCAGCTTATGTGATGATGGGCGTGATTGACAGGCAGATACATACACATGTACACGGACGTATGGATGGATGCAGTCAAACAAGGAATCATGGAGTGATTGGCGCTCGGAGCCTCGCATAGCGTGGTCGTCAACTAGTCGTCGGCGTGTGTCCTGGCAACGACATGTCAAGCACATTGGCTAGAGGAAAGTCACACAAGGACGGGTTGATGGACAATCAGCGGTTCATGGAAATGCATCAACGACATGTATAGTACTTGTGTACTCCTCTCCCCCCCTGTACTAGCCGTGGATCGCCCAAACCCCCGTTCCACTGTACACATGTACAACCATCACATGTCATGTCATGCCGCGGGAAGGACGACGGCACAACAATTACCCGCAAGTAGTATGGGTGGCGTTTGTCTCTGTGAGTTGTGGACGGGCCTGGCATGACTGACTGGGTGGCCCCCCGACGGCCGGAGGGGCTACACGCATCCTGCGTCGCAAACATCACCGCGCCTATTCCTGGGCACGCAATCCCCCCTGTCAGCCGTTCTTTTTTTGCTTCTTACGCTCCCTCACAATGAACGACTCTCTTATCTGGTTTCCCTTCTGATACCCCACATTTAGACTTGCATACATACCCGTCTGCTTCACCCGCAAAAACCCCTCCTCAAAGGCCAAGGTCCCCCAGTCATCCTGCCATCTGCTTGGTCCATGCGCACAGCCTTGTACTGCCAACCTCCTGTTCCCTGCGCCTGTTAGCATTGAGCCAAAATGGCGTCAACTGATGCCGCCGCTCCCATTGACGCTTTTACTTCCCTCATCAATACCACTACTTTACTCGACTTGGCCCGCCGCTTCTCGGCAACCTACAGCAACCTCGCTCGCACCTCAACAGAGCATTTCCTCGCTACTCCCGTCACTGCGCTGCCTACTGGAAAGGAAAAGGGCAAATTCCTGAGCATTGATGTTGGCGGCACTAATCTAAGAGTCGGATTCGTGGAGCTGATTGGAGAGCCAGATGCCTCTACGGGGACTGAGCGTAGCCGGAGTAGTACCATTGGGGACAATGTCTTTGCTCGGATCAACCGAAGTCATGACAAAAACTGGCCAATTGGAGATCACCTGAAAATGGACCAAGCCGAAGACCTCTTTGCCTGGATAGGTGACTGCATCGCCGAAGTTGTAAAAGGCGCTCTTGACGAACAGGAGAGCAGTGGCAGTCAAGTTAGCTCGCCCCTAGGCGATGAGATTCTGCTTGGTATCACCTTTAGCTTTCCAATGGCGTAAGTCGAGTCGACCGTATACTACCACGGTGCTGTGCTGACATCCTTGTTAGCCAGACTCGTCTATCAGAGGCAACTCTGCTGCCAATGGGCAAGGGCTTCGCTATTACATCAGACTTGAACTTGGGCAAGATGCTCCTTGCAGGATACGCCCGACACTGCGACAGTTCTCAGCAAAACAAGCCGCCATTACCAAGGATACGTGTCGCTGCCATTACCAACGACACAGTAGCCACATTTGCATCCCTCGCCTACGCAGTCAAGGCTTCACCAAACAGTCGTGTAGCAATGGGTCTGATTGTCGGTACTGGAACTAACGCAACAGTACCAATGAAGCTGGAATGTTTACATCCCGCTAAGAAGAGTGCCCTGGCCAACCCTGATGCTGTCGAGACTGTAGTCATCAACACTGAATGGACAATACGCGGCACCGACAAGCCCCTGATCGATCTCAACATCAAAACACCCTGGGACATGACACTCGACGCAAACAGCGACGCACCAGGTTTCCAACCCTTCGAGTACATGACATCAGGGCGCTACCTTGGTGAAATCGTGCGCCTGATATTCACCGACGTAGTCTCCAAAGACACCAGCGCGCAAATCCCACCCTCCCTCCAAACCAAAAACACCCTCCCCACCAGATTCCTCTCAGAAGTCATTGCGCGAAAGGGCGGCCGCATCGTCCAACAAGAACTAGAAAGCAAATATCCCGACCCTAGTCCATCCGACGACCCCTTCTGGACCGTCGACAGAGTAGAAATGATCCGCGACATCGCCGAAGCTGTCCAACAACGCTCCTCCGCTCTCGTCGCCGCCGCATGCGTCGGCCTCCTGAATTGCGTCGGCGAAATATCTCTGGACGGCGCAAAAGCACCTAGCAACGGCACGCACAGTAGTACCAAGGGCAAGCGCGAGATTGAAGAGCTGGTCATTGCGTATGCTGGTGGTACCATCTCACAGTATCCAAAGTGGCTGCAAACGTGTCAGCAGTGGATCGATATTCTCGTTGAAGAGGGCTCAGCCGCAAATTCGAGCAAGCAGGTTACGCTCAAGGAAGCCAAAGACGGGGGTATTATTGGGGCGGGTGTGTTGGCGGCTATGACGGATGATATGGCGTGAAAGATGAGGGGTGTTTTTTTGGTGTCTGTGTGTGTGTCGAGCAGAAATAGAAGATGTGTATGCATTTTTTTTTACCAATAATAGTGTTATTATTGTTATCATTGTATATTCTATTCATATGTTATTTTTCTATGATGTTATTTTCAAAGCGGAGACACGCGAATCAGACGTTACTAAACATGGAGGGTTGTAGAACTGTTGGAAAATAAACAATGAGATTCTGTGTTGCATAACGAACTAGATAAAGGCTACAAAACAAACCCCCTCCTCGCTATTATATCTATCATCCCCATGTGACAAAAAGGAAAAGTTCTAGAAGCAAAATGTATTATCGATCAGACAAACCCCACCTCACTTCACCTAACAGGCAACTGATTCTGCCACTCCGGATCCACCTTACTCTGCTTGAAAAAGCTCTTACCCCTCAACCACTGTCTATACGCCTTATACCGCTTCTTGCCCGTATCCTCATTCTCGACATCCAGCGGATTCTCCCTCACCCGCAGAAACTCCTCAAACTCCTCTATATCCTCTTCGGGTGTCTGGAATTTGCTTCCAGACACTAGCGGATAGTGATGGTGATGATGCTGACGCAAAGGTGTGGGCGGAACATCGTTGTAGACGTGAGGATGGTGATTATATGATTGGGGGTACGAATATGAAGGGGCGTGGGAAAAGGGGGTGCTGACGGATTGAGACGTCATGGGCCGCGCGTGGTGCGAAGTGAAGGAGTGAACGGATGCGGCGTCGGTGTCTAGCCGGGCTTGCTCTGATAGTGTGATCTGGATGCCGTCTTCGTCAAAGTCCTTGGGTGGCGTGGCGCTAGATTCGGTGACGGAGAGGTAGTCGTAGTATTCCATTGCGATGGGGTCGTCGGCAGTGGGAATGTCGCTGCTGACAACTAGGGGGAGGTTGAGTGGGTGCTCGATATAGCGCGAGTATTCGTCTTCTTCACTCGGAGCGACTGAGGGGTTCATGCTGTTTTCGTAGAATTGGCGCAGAGTCCATTGGTGGACTAGGGCTTTGTCGGCTGGCTTGAAGCCGGGCTTGAGTGTCGACGAAAGGCCTGTGGACGTGGAAGTTGAGTTGTTCATGGACTGGTAGGCTGATGATGTCGAAGCAGACATATGTGTCTCAAAGTGAGGGTCTCGAAGAATAGATTGTCGGGCCCGCTGGTCTGGATGGGGTACATTATTATGTAAGTTTCTCCCACGAGGCGCAGGGAAGCGATCGGGTCTGGACTCAGTCTCACTTGATGGGTCAATAATAGTGACCCCCTTCCGGGGCATTTTCTTTTCGTCTCTTCCTCCCGCGTCAAGCTCTTGCTGCTTCTTTCGAGGAACAAATGGAGACATGTTTTCCTTTCGAGATGGATAAGTCCCATCCCGTCCAGGCCGTGGCTTAGCAAGCCGAAAAGCAAATATTTTGAGGTAAGAAGATATGGCTAATGGCCGGTAGTATTCCAGCCAATAGTCGTCGCGGAAGCTGATAAAGTCAAAAGCAGTCTCTTCTGTCGGCCTTGCAGGCATGATCGAGGGTGGCAGTGCACGCTGTTGAAGATGAGAAAGAGTATACCAGTTGATATAATCTCGCCGGTTTCGATCCAACACGGTTTGCGGGCTTTGGTGGTGAAGGTAATAATCAGTCGAAAGATCCCAAAGCATTGGCTGACCATGCGAGTATGTGTAATATCCGAGGAACAAATTATAAGCTTCTTGTCGCTGCGAGTCAAGAAAGGAATTGTGATAGTATCGCTTGAAGCTTTCCACCATGTCGCGCGAGCTGCTTTGCCATTGGTTGATTTTTCGGTACGTAGCCATTGTATTAACGAGATGTGATCCCCCATATTGAATTGCGATTGTGTCGCCGTGGCCATGGAACATTTGCGTAAATAGCTCGACGCAATCGGAATCGTACTCTACAGTGTTTCCAGAAATGAGACCCAACGCCTGTAGCTGACGACCGAGGGCTCGCTTTCCGATGACGAACTGCGCTGCATTTGTTCGATCCAAACAGTCAATACAGTTCGTTCGAGCGACACCGTTCTGCACCTGTGGTTCATCGAACTCACTGTCGCCATTCCGGAAGAACCCCGTTTTACGCATCACCTTCTCAGCAAGGTTCTCTAGGGTGCCTATGACGTCCTGTCCTCTTGTTTTCGCTGCTCTAGACATGTCGAATGCCTCATACAGTATCTTCTTGTCCTTGGGTAGAGACTGGTTCAGATAGTCAACAGCGTGCTTGTATTCATGAAGCAATTTGGACTCTCTCGGCGTTCGTTCTCGAGCCTTGATTAGATTGAGAACATAGATAGGAGCTCCATATCGTTCGAAAAGGTTGTCGAAATGCAATGCTGCAGCGCTGTAGAAGGGATCCACAAGATTAAGATCAATGTCAGGCTTGGGTGTGACACCAGTATTGTCTTGGGTCCAATATAGTGGTATACTACCTCGATGTTGAACATAGGATGTGTAGCTGGGATTGGCATAAAGCCTTGGTCCGGGTGCATGGAAGGACGTTGTTGTTTGTTCAGACACAATCTGCTCAGTCTCAACATCATTTGCGACGTAACCTAAATCGTTCGTTCCGCGCTTCAGAAATCGAGCACCGGCGAAGAACCTCGATCGTCTCGCAATAATGGTAAGATATACCCGTCGGCCAAACACATCGAGAGAAGACTGATCGACATAACCGTGTATAATCGGATGGCACCAATCGTACATGTTCTTCAGAGCATCGCGTGCAGGGTTAAGAAGATGGTGATTCCAAACGAACATATCCTGATAGTCGCGATCCGGGTTTGAGATGCCTTGACTTAATGCAGTGCGTTGTTGGATGATATTTTGCTGCAAACTCCTTGTCACATTGTAGGAATACGAAAAATAAAACGATCGCGTAAGGTCCATGTTGTTGAGAATCGACAAGAACCTCGCCTCTTCTGGATTCCTGTCCTTTTGATATTTCGACGTTGACCCCGTCGTCAGAGGAATCATCTCTGTACCGTCGATCTGATAGATGTAGTGGCCACCTAGCATAGCTACTTGAGATCTCTTAGATATCAAGAGCATGTAGTAGGCCTCAGTAAAGCGGATGAATCCCAGCAACCCCCACGTACTGCATTTTAACTTCATGCCTCCCGTGGCTTTGTTGCCATCTGCTATTGTGTCCAGGAGCTGGTGCATCTCTCGCCGACTATACACTATATCATCTTCGAAGATATTCAAGTGTCCCGGCGCAGCTGTTCGATCGATTTTTAACACGCGAAATTGCCTGTCTGTGATATCGGCACCGATGAGGTAGAAGCGAGAACTGGTTTCGTAGAGAGAAAATTTGTGCATCCTCTTGATGCCACTTTCTCCCACATTTTGGTAGGTCGCACCCTTGGCCTTGTGTACTGTGGATGGTGTCGCTGGTCCTTGGAATGCTACGTTCACGTTCGGGTTCTCCTCTTCACCGCCGAACTTTGTAGATGCAGACTCTCTTCGGGGCTTGCCATGACCGGGTAACTTTTCCAGGTCAGCTTCCGGCTTGAAGTTGTGGTCATGTTCAAGGGGCAAGGTCTGCGGGCTTCCAACTGCAGTTGGAGCTTTCTCGATGTCATCTAGCTTGTCCTGACTGATGCTTTCGTGTGACGTGGTTGCTCTGGAGGTTATTGAACTTGCCCTTTCCGGGGAGTCTAGCCTTGACTTGGATCTCTCCATGATCAGCAATCAGTTGGTTGATAAAGTTCGGGGCGGTATAGCGAAAGGAAATGCTGTCATGTGGTCACGGCGTGCTTGTCAGAGACTCAAGGTACTAGCGGCGTGTGCGCATGATGCATGGTAGTCACAACCCAGACACGAAAGCTTCTTTCACAGACCAACCATCATTCGAGGAAAGCTAAGACGAAACCCTTTTCCAGGTGCAGAGTCTCTTTGTAGATTGAAAGGGTTCCGACGTGTTGTTTTCCCCACCAGGCCCCAGCTCATAGAGGCTTGGCGCACGTCAATGCACCTACAGTCACCTATCAGAAGTTTGTTCGCGTAAGCACGGGCCCACCCCAACCACAATCGAGCTGCAGAGCTCCATCTTCTTCAACACCACGTAACTACATCAAAATGGCATCTTTTTCTACCAAAATTTCGAGCAATCGAATGCCTAATG